CTTTGAACATGAAATATGACCATAGCAATCACCCTGGACACTACAATGAGACTATGTATATGGAAAGATTTTCAACTGTACACAGACCTTCTCTTTTCATTCTTTCCATATCATGAACCAGAAATTTTATATTCTGGGTGTTTTTTTTTTCATACGAGGGCTGCAGCCTTTTTCAGTTTGTATTTTATTAGTATCATATTAATGATTCTTTTTGATTTACGCCAGAATTAAGACATGACAAAAGCAAGCAAACCATCCTCTTGCATATTTCCAAAATGAATTATAGGTAGTCCTCAGTTTAAAACCACTCATTTAGTGTCCATTCAAAGTTACAATGATACTGAAAAAAAGACTTACAATCTGTCCTCACAGTTACAGTTGTTGCGGCATTCCCACAGTCATATGATCAAAATTCAGGTGCTTGGCATGTGTTTATGACAATACAGCATCCCAGGGTCATGTGATGGCATTCCCCAACAAGCAAAGTTAATGGAGTAAACTGATCCCACTTAATAATTGCACAAGTCACTTAACAAACATGAGAAAAAAGGTTGTAAAGCTAGTTATCAAAATTTGCTAATGGATTAAGTGTTATATGGCAGGAAGAACTGATGTTTTAGTCACCACTTCAGAGAATTTTTCTACTGAGAATTCAACTCTTCTAAGTCTGCTTCCCTTCATTGCTGGAGAAGGTTGAAGAAAGCCTGATATAACACAAAAAGTGGTTTAAAATGGAACACTATTTTTGGTTATTTGACAGCAATTCAAGGAAAGAAGAAAAAGAAAGAAAGTTCCTTTTTAAAGCTGTGGTGGGACAGGAGAAAATATGGAAACTTTTCCTGGAGTGGAGAGTTTACCCAGTTGGAACAGCAATGGAATTGTATGTATGGGTGAGAGGGTGGGTAACTCCTGGCAACTATATAGACAAGCTAATATTCTAAGCAATTTTTTTGCAAATTGCTTTCTTCCTAGGGGTTATAGGTCACCTACATAGTTGGCTTTGATAGATAAGGTAGAAGTAGTACTTGGATTCTCTTACTCCAAGGTTAGCGTTCAGGACATTAATCACTAATTTAAAGCAGCTCTGTATGTATGTCATATATAGGTTGGTTTTTGCAAAATCCTTGTAGTTCTTTGGAGCAAACAAAAAGCATGTTGGAATAGGGCTGTTTCAATAAAGGCTTGAGTGAACATCCTGCAGCTTGGTGAAATAATGCAGGATTTTATTTTCTACAAGGCAATTTAAGTAGGGTCATCACTTTACTTCACTTGCCTCCGCCAATACTAGTTGAAAAGAATTTTAAGCATGTCTAGTGCCTGCAGATAAGCTTCTTCCAGCTCTTAGAAATGCATGGTCAAGTGTGAGTTCATGCAAGAATTCTCATCAAGACAAATCCCTCCTTCCCTCTGTGAAAAGAATAATGTCCCTTTTGCAGCACAGAACTTCTCATCAAGGCAAATCTAAGCTGCTTTGCACAGATCTGGTTGAAAATGCCTGCTATGTTTTCTTGAAGGTGAAGTTTCTGATGCATCTCAGATTAGCTTTTTCACCTTTTTCACCTAATCTCTCCCCCCTCCCCTTTGAAAAAGTTCATAACATTTGTTCCATTTCACCTGGCAGAATTCTCTCTTTCAGGGGTCAAACATACTTTATCTTACCAATATTTCCGGATTTGATTAAAATAGTTTATACCAATGCCTCTATACCACCGCTGTAGTGGTGCAGTGGTTAAAGTGCAGTATTGCAGGCTAACTCATTGCTCACTGCCATGAGTTCAATTCAGAGCACTCAAAATTGATTCAGCCTTCCATTTTTCTGAGGTCAGTAAAATCAGGATCCAGATCATTGGGGGCAATGTGCTGACTCTGTAAACAATTTAGAGAGGGCTATATAGTACAGTGAAGCAGTATATAAGTCTAAGTGCTATTGCTGGTATTCTATTGCTACAACCCAATCAAATGCCAATAGAAAGAGCAGAAGTAGAAGTACAACAGCAACAACAATCTTTCCTTCTCTATTTTTAGTAACTTTATGGAATACCACTAGTAGTACATTAAGGGGATCTATTCTAGTTACGTTTATAAATCCTACAATTGCATTAAATGGATTAAACTCCTAGTTTTCCATTTGCTGATCTGGATTATTTTACACAGGGGTATCACTGCATCCAGTCCTAAATGAAATTAAGATACATGGTTTCTGCATATATGTTCATAGCAATTATTAATAATAGAACACAGCCTGGAAGAACCAACGATATCTATGCTATTCCCATCTACCATATTAATTTCTTATTGGTTGCCCATCTACTCACCCATGTCATAATAGACAAGATGATATCTGCAAAGAAAGAAAAGTTACTTTTCTTTGTTGCTAACCCGGAGGAAATATATGGATTTCTGGCATTTGTGAAGAAGTATAATTCAGGCAGCAATTCATCAATACTTAAAAATAGTTTCATATGGAAGTAAGATAAACAAATTATTTTGTTGCAGGTTATAACAATGTAAAAACATAATAAATTGGTGGTCTTATAAATTCAATAAAATCTGTTCATTCTAAAACACGAAGAGAAGTTTATATAAATAAAGCTCAAATTCTTCCAAAATCAAACATTGCCTCTACCAAGAGAATGAGGAAGAGTACTGGGCCCATCAACACATACACAGAGTACACATTTATGAGCAGAACTGGTCTATAGAAAAGTTTTGAAAACAGTGGAATAGTCTATTATTTTAGGAGCAAATGAGAACTTAATCTCTTATATCTGAATTCAATTAATTTGGTGTCTACACATTGAAGTTTCAATATATTCACTTCCTTTACTAAAGTCTTTCATTCAGATATGTACTTACTAAATACTTCAGTATTCTCAAGATCTGTCATTTGTTCAGCTTAGATTTTAACTGAAGTCAGACTTAAACTAGATTGATTGATTTGACTAGACTGTTTAAAATTGAAGTAACTGAACTCAAAACAATATTGTCATTAAGATTCAGACTAAATATATATAGACAGACATTTGTCTGAGTAATTCTTACTATAAAATAAAAGTCAATGATTTTACTAAAGTTTCTGTTTCTCCCTTAACTTTTTTGAGTACATTGATGAAGAGCATAATGATTTTGTGAATCAGACATGTAAGTAAAAATTACAGCTAAGTGAAATAAGTGAGACATAAAAATAAATTTAATATAAGCATTCTGAATGTCATGAAAAAAACATGCATTTCTCCAGTATGATTTCATAAAGGTTAATAAAATATGCACATTAAACTGCATGTAAAAAATAATAATTCCCAAATTGATTCAGAATATAATAAAGGTTTGTAATTAATTGATATACTATGGAACAAAGTACATACCAGAACAGTATAGAAAAAAGAAAAACTCATGGAAATTGTATACAACATTTTGTGGATTTCGTTTCTACTCTTTAAAGCAGGCAGTCTTTAGGAAAATTGGCGTCCCTTAAATCTTACTGTCTAGATAAAAAATGTCTAAATGGGGTAGGAAGCCATAGTTCAGATGAAAGCAGATTGGCTTAAGGATGGCAAGGAAGTGAGACAAGGCTGCATACTCCCTCCTGATTTTTTAGACAACCCATAGCAGGGATTGGCAACTTTCCTTCCACATGGGGAGAAGAGACCATGTTAACAGATAACAGATAATCAGAGTTGGAAGGGACCTTGTAGGTCATCTAGTCCAACCCCCCGCCCAAGCGGGAGATGGAAGTCCAGTCTCTTCTTGACAGTCTCAAGTGATGGCACTCCCACAACTTCCGAGGGCAAGCTGTTCCATTGGTTGATTGTTCTCACTGTCAGAAAGTTTCTCCTTATCTCCTTAAATCTCTCCTTGTTCAGTTTCTATCCATTATTCCTTGTCTGGCCTACAGGTGCTTTAGAAAACATGTGAGTGGGCAATATTTATCTCTGTGGTTAATAAATAAAGGTAATATTACTAAAAATGAATTAATAATATTTTATTTGAGGCAGCACCATTCTCCCATAACATCTATCTGTTTGATTTGATCCTGCAGAATTGACACATTCTAGGTTCTCTCAGTTAAACTATGTCATCTTTTGAGATGTTGGAAGTATGTTTTTTGCTGTCATAGTCCCTGCCCTTTAAAATGAGATTCTGTCCAAGATTGGGATTACTCCCACTGTGTTGTTGTTTAGTTAGAACAGCAATGAAGATCTGCTTCTTCACCCAAACCTTTGGCAAGAGAGATGGAGACCCCTTTATTCATTGCTCATGTCATCTTTTATGTTTCATTGATTTCATTGCAATATCCTTGATTGTTGAAAGCTATCCAGAATTACTGAGATTCAGGTATACAAGTTTAATAAATTATTATGGTTGGTTGTACAGACTTGTACAGATCAGATTTAGCATTTTTCTCCACCTATTAAGCCCTCCCTGAGGACCAGGGATAGACAGGATGTTGCTGTTGATGGTGTTAAATGTCACTGGATGGAAGAAGGTTGTTATTCATTGTTATTATTTAGCTGATCTTCCCATGCAGGGCTTTTAGTTCTGCCTGAGTCCAGTACATAAGTCTCATTTCAAATCATCCAAAGGAGGAGCCTGGCAGATACTTCTGATTTTGATAGGCATGGTCTGACCTGTTCAGTATTGTTGACAAAGGCATCATGCATTGACAAGTCATAGTTACATATAGTTACATATTTATAGACCCCTCACATCCTGGACATAAACTGTTTCAACTCCTTCCCTCAAAATAGAGCACTGCACATCAGAACAACTAGACACAAGAACAGTTTTTTTCCCAAACACCATCACTCTGCTAAACAAATAATTCTCTCAACACTGTCCAACTATTTACAAAGTCTGCAGTGCTACTACTATTAACCTTCTCATCACTCCTTATTACTCATCCCCTCCCACTTGTGACTGTATGATTGTAATTTTATCGCTTGTATCCTTACAATCTATATTGACTGTTTCCTAGTTTGATTTGATTACTTATTGTACCCTATGACTATTATTAAGTGTTGTACCTTATGATTCTTGACTCTTGATGAATGTATCTTTTTTTATGTATACTGAGAGCATTTGCTCTAAGACAAATTTATTGTGTGTTCAATCACTCTTGGCCAATTAAGAATTCTATCCTATCCTATCCTATCCTATTCTATTCTAGTGATGATAATTAGTCTCCTTGAAATATTTCTCTTTTAATATTAATCTCTCCTAGTACATTACCCTTGACTAGCAACTGTGTCTTCCATTGTGCCACTGATCTTTACACCTAATTTCTGAAGTTGCTACTGCTACTTTCAGGTACTTTATTATCCAATCATGTGGCAAAATGTGGAATATCTTGTAATCAATCCAAACTATATTCAACATCTTCCTTCTCTTGCAGTTTTTCAAAATCATCTTGTTAACTAGAAGCTGATCTTTTGTCTCTCTGCTATTTGGGAAGTTTCCTTTTTGCTCAGGTGGAAATAGTTTATTTTCAATAGTTGCTATTGGATTGCATCAGCTAACACACCTGTTAGCAATACGATAGCTGTTGGTAAGCAGGTAATTGGTCTGTAGTTGCTGGATGCTATCCCTTTTCTTGGCTCAATTAACCAATTGATGTTAACCAATCTTCGTTTTCCTTAAAGTGCAGGTAGTCCTTTCTTAATGAAGTTGTGAAAGTCTTCCCAAGAGCTACTTACAACCCAGTTCTAGAGTTCACATATACCTCATGGTTCATGTGATTGAATCTTGGGTGCTTGGCAACTAGCTTCCATTACTATTTTTATTTGTTATATGGAGGCAAAAGCTTATTAGAGGTCTAGAGAATATTATAGTGATAGCATAATAGCAATAGCACTTAGACTTATATATCACTTCATAGTGCTTTACAGAATACTCTAAGAAGTTTACAAAGTCAGCATATTGTCCCCCATAATCTGGGTCCTCATTTTACTGACCTCAGAAGGATGGAAGACTTTACAATGTCACCAAGATATGCTGCTTACCATAGCTTGTGGTTCAGGTAGTTGCTTTGCCTGTAATAGCTATAAATTTCCAGTTTCAGCTTCCTTGGCCACTCACTTTTCCTATTTCCTTTTTACCTATATACCCATCCACAATCTATGTTAGTGTTTGCTGTTGTAAGGGTGAGGAAAGGCTGCCTCTGGTCTGTCAACACATTTCTAAATCCACAGGATGTGGTTCAATTAGCCTAGCAGCTGGAAAGCCTGTGTGGATGCTTGTAAGTAAACTGTGAATTGAACTGAATTAATTAATTAATTAATGATCCAATCTCTCAAGTTTCTGGGACTGTAAACTTTTAAAGCCTTTTTGGGAAAAAATGCATGAACAGTGTTAAGACTTGGGCAAGAAGAGTGGATAGCATTTCTACCTGGCTGCTTGTAGCTGCTTTCCCCAAGTACAGACAGCAACCTCAGCTGCACTTCCTCTCACATTATAATTCTTTCCACCACCACCCATCTTTGTCCCAAATGGACAGCTGCTCTTTTCTTCTCTTCCTTGGATAGACTGGGACCACAGACCACAAGATTTCAGATGGCAGGTCCTAACTGGTCTTCAGGCTAGATGTTAATGCTCAGTATATATTGGGAAAGGTTGGTTTGCGAGAATATGAACATGCTGTTAAAACTGAAGATAGAAACATCAATATCCTGTATGATGTGATGACACAACTTTGATAACTGAAAGCGCAAATCATCTGGAAGCACTAGTAAGGAAAATCAAGGGATGCATTTCCTTGAAATTGACTAGAGTTAAATACAGTATAAAGAACAAACTAACAACTATAAATACAACAATCAGCCTTAAAATTTAAAATTAAGATAGCAATCAAAAAATACACCTCAGACTACCAATAAAGCTCTTGTAATTAAGATTCCATGCTGTGTCTGTACCTCCGAAGGTATCTACAAATCCTGTACGTCATGGGTGTCAAACTTGCCGTGTCACATTACCGTCAAGTGGCATATTGTGACATCTTTTTCTCTTCATGGAACTGGGATAGTCATGGCCTGCACATGATGCATCCAGCTCATGGGCCACCTGTATGACATCCCTGATGTAGGCAATGTTTTTTTTTTCCTTGTGACACTTTGTGGAAGTGAAAGATGGACTTTGTAGGAGCAAGATAGAAAAAAAATGCTTTAATTTTTTAAATTAAAATTTGGTACAGTATTAGTATTAGTGAAGAGTCCTAAGGATACTAGGAAAGAAAAGACAAGAAGACAATCAGTAGCAAGTGGATATACTAAATTATTGAAGGAATGCAACATTGGAAGATCTGAAGGATCAGTTTGAGGACAGATTGTCCTTTGCAATGTCAATCTATGTAGTTACTAGGACACTGACTTGATGATACATAATCAAAATATAGGCAATAACTGAATTTGAAAGAAGAAGAAAAAGAATGAAGAGAAGCTGTGAGTGGCACATCTTCCATCTCAAAGACACAATAAGGCCTTTGGAAAAGTTTGACACAACCTCTCTGAGTGGCTGTTTTTTCCCCTCTCTCACCTTCCTCATTATTAGATGACTAGATAATTCTTTTTCTATTCTACTTCTTCAGCGTCAGCCCACAACTGAATGTCAAATGGCAGGTTATTCAATGGGATAGTCAAATTTTCTCACTGTGAGCACATTCAAGTAGAACCGCATTTTTAAATGACAGTGTTCGGGTTTATTTCTAGCACAGGGAAAATGGTCACAATACTTCGAACTCTTCAGCCAGCTATAAGCACAGCACTTCACTTTCTTCGAATCCCATTAGATTTAGTCCAGCAACTTTGCTTTCAACCTGACTGAGTCAAAGAATCAAAGTGATTTCTTGACATACAATGAGCAGCTCTACTGAAACAGAGACTGCTATATCAGTGCACTCTTCACCACATCATTGGAAAAGAGTTTGGCTTCTAAACACAAGGAGCTGTTGTCTGCCATCAAGGATGCAAAATTTAAATGAAAAGTGTTCTTCTCTCTCCCCCTCCCTCTTCCTCCCTCCTCCCTCCCTCCCTCCCTCTCTCTCTCTCTTGTAGTGGTCTGCTGAATTTTGAATCTTGCCAGGTTATACTCATTATGCAAATATTACCAAGTTTTGTTTTACGAAGAGTTGACATAAAAGCGCTCTCTCTCTCTCTCCCTCCCTCCCTCCTTCAGTCTCTGTCTCTTGCTTTCTTGTTCATGTATATTAATGAACACAGGCTATTCTTAATACTAAAATAACAGTATATTTATATGCTTGGGATTTAGGCATTTAAAACAGTACTATGCAAAAATCTATTTTACAAGCTTCCCTGTGAAGCTTTTACTTCTCAAGTTAATTCTCAGAATATTTCAGAATGTAGTCTTATTTCACCACCCCAATATTAGAAATTTGCAAAGATAGATGCTGCTATATTATTTCTCTGTTACACAGTTCCCCATTGCTTGATTTCCTGTTTTTTTTTCTTTCCTGTTTTTTTTCTTTCCTGTACTGAAGAGTCAGAATAACTTCCTAAGAGCTTAAAACACAGGGAGCCAGAGAGATGATCATACAGTTAAAGACATCCAACATCCAACCATATGTATTATGGAGCTATGCTAATTATCCAAAGGTGCATTGCTTGCTGTGTTGAGATGATCAAATCCACTGAAGATTCAACAATACATAGATGTGCATGTGCTTGCAAGAAAATATTTCCACTAATATTTATTCATAAAAGAAGGAACAGCTGTTTTACTAGTAATACCAATATAAATTTTATATGCATGCATTGCACATGCATGATCAAATCATCAAGAAAGAACATAAACATGGCTGCTCTGAAGCTTGAAGTGATTTGGGCATCTTGATATTTTGAACATCAGATAAGGAAGGGCCTGTGATTGATTCATTTCACAAAACCACTCTCCAAGTGATTTGTACAGCCTTAATGTTTCTACCAATTTGTAAATACAAGCATGTTGTACATTACAGCTGAGTTTTCAGTCCTTATGGGGAAAGTGTTCTATATGTTTGTCAATTAAATTAATGGATAATGCTAAAAAGTAAGTACCATCTAAAGCAGGGGTGTAAAACTGGATTTCTTCGAGGCCTGGATCAGCATTGTAGTTCTCCTCTGTGGACTGGCGAGGGAGAGGGGAGCAGGAGGAGACTTGACAGACACCTCCTGAAGCACCCTGCCAACCAAAATGGGGCATGGGGGGGCATGCGAGGCCCCATGCAGCTCATTTTTGGCCTCCTCAGCTTCCAGCAGCACTCTACCAGCCCGGTTTTGGCTAGCCAAGTGCTGCTGGAGGCTGGGAAGGCTGAAAATGGGCCATGCAGGAGCCTTGTGGAGCCTCTGCATGGCCCGTTTTGGCCCAGAGTGCTGCTGGAGGCTGGGGAGGCTCCAGCAGCACTCTGTCCTCACATGGCACAGGCCATGTGGGGACATCATGAGGCTGAAAATGGGCCATGCAGGCGCCTTGCAAAGCCCCCGCACTGCCCATTTTTGGCTGGCAGAGTGTTGCCAGCAGGAGGCCAGGGAGATTGAAAATGCTGCACATGCTCCACACTATGCCCCCCCCGTGGCCAGTTTTGGCCAACAGAGGTACCGCAGGCCAGTCCTTTCATATTTCCAGGCTGGCCCCATGGCAAGATTAAAAACCTTATAGGCCAGATTCGGCCTATAGGCCTTGAGTTTGACATCCCTGATCTAAAGGATATTGTTATGGTTAGCCAGTAGCAGGTTCAGGTGGCTGAGGAAAGCGAGGACTCAGATGAGGGGCCAGGACCATTAGGGAGTGGACTGCTGCTTTTAGATATTGGACCTTAGTCAAGCAAGTATGATTTTCAAGCAGGCTTTGGGATTTACTGAAGTTGAACTGAATCCCTCCAGTATATTACTCTTGATAGCAGAGTCTTCTCAGGTCCATAAAGCATCTTTGTTAGTTGGCTTTCACAAGTTGGAAGAGGAATTAGCTGGATGCAGAATCAAACAAACAAGCAGTATATTATTTCTTACTTTTGAGCTGGTCTGAGTTCTCAGCTCCAGATCATTGCCTCATGAAGTCAAGAAATACTCTGAGCAGTCTGATCCAAAGATCAGTAGCTACTAATGATACTACCCACATTTTCCTACCAC